CATTCTATGATTCTGCGATTCTCTTCTGGGACTTCCTGTGGCCTCAGCTTCCCTTCAGTCTTCCAGGAGGACCTGAGCTGAAGAACCTTGTCTGGGGGTGATCTCTAGGATAAGGGCCAGCATATGGGTTGGGAGAGACTGTCTGACTGTCTCAAGGACATGTGCTGCATACACGTACAGCAGGAGAGCAGGAAGCTCACATATCTGCTGGGTCATGCTTCCATCAATGCAAACTCTGACCCGGGATCCCAGCCTTGCTTTCCAACCCACCCTTCGGGAAGTGCGATGATATTAAGAGATGGGGAGTGTACAGGAGCAATCCTTCTTCAGTCACTGCTCAGGCCAGGTGGTGCACCAGAAAACCATGGACATTTGGTTCTGCATGAGGAGCATGAATTAGGGTACCCATAGTCCCGACCTTGTCTTGGATGAGATGAACACCAGTATTTGAGGCAACTTCTAGACAAGGTCAGCTCCCATCTGATCTCTCCCCATCCCTCCTCTCACCTCTCCAGCTCTTCCTGGCCTAATGAGGTTGCTCGGCTTACTCAGCCTGGAGAAAAGAGAGTGTTGGAGAGGAGGAAAACAACAGCAGAGAATGGCCAGGGGACTGTCAAGGAGATAAAGCCACCAGTAGTGCTTCCAAGCAGGAGGATGAGATCCAGCTGGCAGAAGTTGACCTCTGGAAGTTCTTTCCAACCTGAATTATCCTTTCATCCCATGACGTGTATCACTGGGACCATTTCTGATGGTCATGGGCCTTTGAAAGGACCAAGATGTTTGAAGGATAGAACACAGGGCCATCTCAGGTATTTTTTATTCTTAGCAAAGCTGAGGTGATTCTCAGCTTCACAAAGGGGCAACTGGAAGCAGAGATAATGCTGTGAGAGTTGGGGTGCATATGGGAAGGTCTGCTATGCACCAGCACTGCCAAAAGTATGAAGAGTGCCCTTGTCAATATGCAATGTGCACACCTTGTGTTGGCAATTGCAACATCTTACTCTTGGGAACTCTTCTGACATTGTGTGGTGAGTGTGGATGAGTCTTGATGATTGCCCTGCCTCCATTTAGCTTCTGGAGGAGCCTGACTCAGACTGCAAAGGGCTCAGGGACCGGAGAAAGGGAGACACTGCTTGAGAAGTTTACAGACTTTCCAGCAGTTCAGAAGTTTCAGCCTCCTTTGAGAGCACATCAAGCAATGCTCCCTCTCTGCAGTCCCTGGGGAGAGCAGAGTTATAGAAGGAACCTTCAGAGAGATGCCTTGACTAACTCTGTGGAATTCCTTCCTGAAGTGGAGATGAAGGAGATCAGTCCCTGACCATGGTATCATGTCCACACTGATACTGGGACAAGAAGATGTGATTGTTACACTTAATTGGTTTTCTGCTAGGAGAAATGATCCTGCTGTCAAGAAGTGTGTCTGCCCTGGGGAGGAAGGGAAGCGCAGGGATCCCTTCAGGCTGTTTCCCAGCAGGTTCCCCTGCAGCCCAAGGGCCACGTGCAGGGAGCCTTGTGGGGGGCAGAGCAAGGGAGGCCTTGGGCTGGGCCTCTGTTGCTGAGCTGGGCCGGGCTCCTACGCCCAAGGGGAGCTCCTGGCAAGCGGGCAGCGCTGCACAGAGACAGCTCTGCCCAGGAGCAGCTCCTCTGCACAGTGCAGCAGGGCTGGGGCACTGCCTGCAGCTGGCACTGGGAGGGGGGAGAAGGGAAAGAGAGGTTACGGGCTGTTTGGAATATGAGAATACTATGAGCTCAGAGGAGGAGAAATCTTCCTAGCATGTAACACGGTAAGTGTCTTTCTGTAGTGTATTGCACAGGAATATCAGGGAAGGTTTCAAGACTGAGAACTTCCCTTAGAAGATCAGACCAGATGCACTTGGTATTTCTTTAGTGTGGAAAAGCACAAGCTCCAGCCCAGGGGTTCCCTACTGCAGGGTCAGTGTCCAGGTCCGGAGGGTTCCCTTGTCTCAGGATGGCTGCAGGCTGTGAAGCCAGGGCTGCAGGCAGGGGTGTCCAGGGCTGTGGTGCAGAGCAGGGTCCCTGCTGTGCCCCAGGGGCTGTGTGCCAGGGCAGGGCCTCTGCCGCCTGCCAGGCTCAGCACTCAGCCTGCCCGGGGAGCTGCCCAGGGCGCTGCAGGGAGAAGCTGTGGGTGGAAGGAGCCCCCTTGGCAGGGCAGGGTCCTGCTGCTGGTGGGAGGCTGCTGCCTGGGGCAGCCAGCTCACAGCAACACAGCACATCTACAGGGTATTTCCCACAGGTTTTTCATTAGCATTGTCAAGGCAACAAATATTTTAAAGACATAGAGCTTTCTTGACTCTCTTTTTTCTGTTTCCATTTGCTGAGAAAGCTGGGAGGATACATTAAGGGAAGAGAAAATGTTCAGTTTGGGCAAGAGGCTGACAGCTCTTTCCCAGTTCAGACAGAAACCTGATAATGGCTTGTCACCATCTCTGTAGGCTAAGTCTGCACCACCATCATGTTTCTGGCCACTGAATCTTTTCTTCTGATCTGCTTTTCTGGACTATCAACTGTTTATTGTCCCATCACGTGCCATGCTGCTCAGAGGTTTCTGCAGGGCAGATCTGAGTGCTCAGAGATACACAGATGGGAGAAGTCTGAGAAACAGCTGCAGGATTAAACAGCTCCAGGCACTGAAGATATGTCAGGGAAGGAGGGAGGTGCTGTACAGGGTATATTTGGGCATCCTTCTCTCAGTTGCTGCAATGCAGATACCTTCTTCTATGTAAGTTCCCTCGTCCCCTCTCCCAGCCAAAACTACTTCTGCCATGAAGATCATAGAATGAATCCTATCATAGAACGGTTTGTGTAGGAAGTTACTTTAAAGATCATTGAGTTCCCAATCCCCTGCCATAGGCAAGGGCACTTTCCACTAGACCAGGCTGCTCAAAACCTGGCCTTGTAAACTTCCAGGGTTGGGGCACCCACAACTTCTCCTGGCAACCTGTTCCAGTGCCTCACCACACTCTGAGTGAAGAATTGCCTCCTAATCTCTAATCTGAATCTGCCCTCTTTTAGTTTAAAACCACTCCCCCTTGTCCTATCATTATCTACCCAAGTAAAGAGTCCTTCTCCATCTTTTTTATACGTCCCCTTCAAATACTGAAAGGTGGCAATGAGGTCACTCCGAAGCCTTCTCTTCTTCAGGCCGAACATCCCCAGCACTCTCAGCCTTTCTTCATAGGGGAGGTGCTCCAGCCCCTTGATCATCTTTGTGGCCCTCCTCTGGACCCACTCTAACAGCTCCACATCCTTCTTGTGCTGGGAACTGCAGACCTGGAGACAGTACTCCAAGTTGGGCCTCACCTGGGCAGAGCAGAGGGGGACCATCACCTCCCTCGACCTTTTGGCCACTCCTCTGTTGATGCAGCCCAGAATGGAGTTAGCCTTCTGGGCTGCAGGCAATCACTGCTGGATCGTGTGGGGCTGATCATGGTGTCCAGGGCATGAGCTGCCATGTCTGCAACCAGAGCCCCAGAAGAGGAGAGGTGCCTCTTGGTGGGCATGCTCCCCTTTCCTATTGCATGACAGAGGGGTTGCCAGTGACTGCTCAGCATCCCTGGGGTCTGTTCACAACTGGGTGAGGCTTTCTGGGGGGGTTCTCTGCCTCTTTGTCTTCCACTGAGTGAGCACTGTGATATTTCCCCACATTTTCTCCACCTGTTCATGCTGCTCCTGCTATTGTGTTCAGGCTCTCTAGGGATGGGGTTTCAGGTGCAGTTCCAAAAATGACCCTGAACATCCTGCCACAGATGTGTCTGCATAACAATGAGGTGTTCCATCACCCATCTGACTTCTGGGACCACAGACAATGCAGTGCAAGACGGTGGGTAATATGCCAACGATCTCTTCAGAAGACCTCATCTTCTGCCATTTCCCTGTTTTCTAATCTGTGTCACCTGGGCAGTGCAGTTGACAGGGCATGGGAAGTAAGCAGGCTTTCCACCTTAGGAAACACATCAGCCTCCTTGTGGTGTCAAGTCAAGCTATTCTCCACAAGGGCGCAACTTGGTCTGGCTGTCTGAGTGAGGAGCCATCTCCCATTAGTCTCTGCACATCTGGGCTGAGAAGGAGAGAGAGAGGAGATTGGAGAGCTGCACTTTGGATCTGGACCCCCCCTGCTATGTTCTGTTCCTTTTCAGAGAAACTTCTGAGTGTGGTCATCCTAGCACTTAGAGAGGAAGGATGGGGCAAAGGTAGGAAGAAGACCAATGGAGAGACCAGACCTTCTGATGCTGCACTAAGGCCCAGGGTACACTTCTGACTCTCAGGACTCGCTAGTGTTCAGGTTGAAAGAAATCCAAGTGCTTTGGATTTCCCCTCTGTCGTGGTTTCAGCTAGGATAGTGTTAATTTTCCTCCTAGTAGCTGGTAGGGTGCTGTGTTTGGGATTTAGGATGAGAATAATGTTGATATCACACTGAATTTTTAATTGTTGCAGAGCAGTTCTTCCACTAAGCCAAGGACTTTTCAGCTTCTCATGCTGTCCTGCAAGCAGGCAGTCTGGGAGTGCAGCGGGAGCAGGGAGGGGACAAAATCAGGACAGCTGACCCAAACCGGCCACAGGGGTATTCCATACCATCTGACATCATGCTGAACAATTAATATAGGGGAGCTGGCTGGGTGGGGGGACTGGCTGCTGGGGGATAGGCTGGGCATCAGTCAGCAGGTGGTGAGTAATTGCATTGTGCATCACTTGTTTTCTAAACATGAACAGTAGTAGTACTAGAATCACTATAATTATTATTTTCTTTTCTTTTCTGTCCTAATAAACTGCCTTTATCTCAACTCACAGGCTTTCATTTCTTTCTAATTCTCTACCCCATCCCAGAGAGGGAAGGGGGAGGGTGAGCAAATGGCTGTGTGGCCAGCAGGGTTAAACCACAACACCCTCTTTTAATGAATGTGCGTCTGATGTGACAAGGAATGCAGACAGTGTATCACTAAGTTTCAGAGGTTTCTGCAACAAACTGAGTAGGTTTCACTCAAAGACGTCTGTCCAAAACTGTCACTGCATTTTCCTTCTTCAACAGGTCCCCATTCCCAGGGGAATCAAATGTCCAACAGTAGCTCCATCACCGAGTTCCTCCTGGCATTCACAGACACACGGGAGCTGCAGCTCCTGCACTTCGTGCTCTTCCTGGGCATCTACCTGGCTGCCCTCCTGGGCAACGGCCTCGTCCTTACAGCCATAGCCTGCAACCAACGCCTCCACACTCCCATGTACTTCTTCCTCCTCAACTTTGCTCTCCTCGACCTGGGCTGCATCTCCACCACTGTCCCCAAAGCCATGGCCAATTCCCTCTGGGACACCAGGGCCATCTCCTATGCAGGATGTGCTGCACAGGTCTTCCTGTTTGTCTTCTTGTTTTCAGCAGAATATTCTCTTCTTACTGTCATGGCCTATGACCGCTATGTTGCCATCTGCAAGCCCCTGCACTACGGGAGCCTCCTGGGCAGCAGAGCTTGTGCCCAGATGGCAGCAGCTGCCTGGGGCAGTGGGATTCTCAATGCTCTGCTGCAAACTGGTAACACATTTTCCCTGCCCCTCTGCCAAGGCAATGCCGTGGACCAGTTCTTCTGTGAAATTCCCCAGATCCTCAAGCTCTCCTGCTCACACTCCTACCTCAGGGAAGCTGGGCTTGTCATGGTTAGTGCATGCTTTGCTTCTGGATGTTTTGTGTTCATTGTGCTCTCCTATGTACAGATCATCAGGGCCGTGCTGAGGATGCCCTCTGAGCAGGGACAGCACAAAGCCTTTTCCACATGCCTTCCTCACCTGGCCGTGGTCTGCCTGTTTGTCAGCACTGGAGCTTTTTCTTACCTGAAGCCCCCCTCCATCTCCTTCCCATCCCTGGACCTGGTGGTGGCTGTTCTGTACTCGGTGGTACCTCCAGTGCTGAACCCCCTCATCTACAGCTTGAGGAACGAGGAGCTCTTGAATTCTGTGAAGAAAGTGATTTCCTGGAGTTTTTTCAATAGTTATAAAATTATTGCCTCTTTCCATAAATGACTCCCAGCATATCTGATGTCAGACCTGTGTTTTGCTTGTTTTCATTTTTATAGGTAAGTATGGTTTTTCTGTTCCTGCACACTTGGGGATTTCTCTCACTTCACAGAATCACAGAATCGCAGAATTTCTAGGTTCGAAGAGACCTCAAGATCATCGAGTCCAACCTCTGACCTAACACTAACAAATCTTCCACTAAACCATATCACTAAGCTCTACATCTAAACATCTTTTAAATACATCCAGGGATGGTGACTCAACCATTTCCCTGGACAGCCTATTCCAGTGCCTGGGAAGAGTACAGGGATGCAGTCCAGATGTGCAGGGATGGCATAAGGAAAGCCAAAGCACGGATGGAACCGAGCTTGGTGAGGGATGCAAAGAATAACAAGAAGGGCTTCTATAGGTACTTTGCTCTGGAAAGAAAGGACAAGGAGAGAGTATCTCCTCTGATGGATGAGAATGGTGAACTGCTAATAACAAACATGGAGAAGGCTAAGGTACTCAACAATTTCTTTGCCTCAGTCTTCACTGCCAGTCAGGCTTTCAAAGTCTTTTGTTCTCTTAAGCTCTAGATGGAGGCTGGGGGAGCAAAGTTGCACACACTGTAAGTGAAGAGGAGGTTTGAGACCACCTGATGTAACTAAACAAGTACAAATCTACAGGGCCTGCTGACATGCATCTGAGGGTCCTGAGGGAATTGGCTGATGTAGTTGCCAAGCCACTCTCCATCATATTTGAAAAGTTGTGGCAGTAAGGCAAAGTCCCTGGTGACTGGGAAAAGGAAAGAGGGAAACATCACTCTTAATTAGGCTAGAAAGGAAGACTGGGGGAACTACAGAAGGGTAAGCCTCACCTCTGTGCCTGGCAAGATCATGCAATGGGTCCTCTTGGAGGCAATGTTAAGGCACATGCAGGACAAGGAGGTGATCTGGGACAGCCAGCATGGCTTCACCAAGGGCAAATGGTGCCTGAGCAATCTGGTGGCCTACAATGGAGTGACAGTATCAGTTGACAAGGGAAGACTGACCAATGTCATCTACCTGGACCTCTTTAAGGCTCTTAAAACAGTTCTACATGACATCCTGATCTCCAAGTCGGAGAGGTATGGATTTGATGGCTGGACCATTCAGTGGATAAGGTGTTGGCTTGAAGGTCGCACCGGCAGACTATTGATCAATGGCTCTACGTCCAAGTGGAGGCTGGTGATGAGTGTTATCCCTTAGGGGTCTGTCCTGGGACTGATATTGTTTAATACCTTTATCAATAACATAGACAGTGGGATTGAGTGCACCCTCAGCAAGTTTGCTGATGACACTAAGCTGAGTGGTGTGGTTGATACAATAGCAGGAAGAGACGCCATCCAAAGGGACCTGGACAGGCTTGAGAAGTAGGCCCACATGAACTTAATGAGGTTCAACGAGTCCAAGAACAAGGTGCTGCAACTGGGCCCGGGAAATCCTGGATGTGAGTACAGACTAGGAGAAGAACTCACTGAGAGCAGGCCTGCAGAGAGGGACTTGGGGGTTCGGGTGTATGCAAGGCCCAACATGAGCTAGCAGTGAGCTCTTGCAGCCCAGAAGGCCAACTGCATCCCGGGCTGCATCAACAGATGAGTGGCCAGCAGGTCAAGGGAAGTGATGGTCCCCGCTCTGCTCTGCCCAGGTGAGGCCCAACTTGGTGTGCTGTTTCCAGGATTCCAGCTCCCAGCACAAGAAGGGTTTGGATCTGTTAGAATAAGTCCATTTTCTGTCCTAATAAACTGTCTTTATCTCAACCCACATGCTTTCATTTCTTTCTGCTTCTCTCCCCCATCCCAGAGACAGCGGGGGGTGAGTGAGCGAATGGTTCTGTGGAGCTTAGCTGCTAGACGGGTCAAACCACAACACCCGCAATTAAAATGACTGTTGGGACCCTGAGAAACTCATGCTGGGTCATGTGTGACAAACTCAGACTGAAAGATTCTAGAGCAGGTGACTGAGTGGCTGTGGCAGATCCCAGCATCTTGCTCCAGTCTGGGAATATGTTCCCTTCCAACTAGGGAAATTAGAAGGCATTAATATGAACACAACCAACACAGGTTCAGCTGAAGTGAAAGCCCCAACCCAGGACAATGGAGTGAAGGTCCCTGGGCACAACTGCAGAAAGACTTTGCAAGACCTCTGCCAGTGACAGCTCAAAGCACCAAATGCATCTTGGTGGTAGTAGGTCCTTTTGGCACATGGGCAGAAGTCCTCCCTGGCAAAACCACCACGGAGGCCAGCACTGCAAAGCTGCTGCATAACACCGACTTTTGTCCCCGGGGTCCAGACAGGGGAGAGGGAAGGGGAGAGGCAGGCCGTGGGGAGGGGGCTGGAGTGAGGTCACTGCCACTGCAGCAGCCTGATTGGCCCTCAGAAGGGCTGGCCGGCAGGCACTGTGACATCATCCCGCGCATCAGAGAGCCCCCTGGGCAGCAATGACGTCACTGCAGAGGGGAGGGCGAGGGGCTGGCAGAGCCCCATCGAGAGGCTGGCTGGGGGTCCCCTCTGCTACAGCCACATTCAGTGGCAGTGCACATTCAGGGCTTGGTCGAGCTCCCCGCATTACAATCCCAAAGGCATCCTCAGGGTCCCCTCCTGCCATGGCCCTCCTTCCTTTGCAGCCTCCTCCAGCCCACGGCTCTGCCCTGACCCAGCCACGTCCCATGGGGGCATCTGCAGACAGCCCAGCTCCAGGTCTGCAGGGCTATGGGCCAGGACCAAGACCGGCATGGCTGGCCATTCCCCTGAGGCAGGTTTTGAGTTCCAGCTCTTGACCTCCCTGCCCTCTGCTCACCTCCCTGCCTTTTGCCCAGCCCAGCGGCACTAGCCCCATGGCAGTGCCCACTGTAGGTTGCTGCACGGCTCTGGGCACTGCCACCACAGCCACAGCCCCTCTGAAGGCCACAGCAGCTCCTGGGGGCACAGAGGGCTCAGCCCCACAGATGCGGACATCCATGGCACAAGCGTACAGAGGTCAGTGTCCCCTGCTGTGCCCCCTGCTCTCTTCTGCAGAAGATCCTCAGAGGCTTGCCGCCCCTCCGTGCCATCCCTGGAGGTCCTCAAGCATCTCCTACTGCCCCAGGGCCAGGTTAGCCTGACCCGAGCTGCTGCAGCCAGAAGGGTGTTTGCTATTGCCATTACTTCCTGATCAGCTGAGAGTGGGTCTCAGACAAAGAAGTTGTTTTGGTTTCATTTATTTTGTTTAAATACACAAAGACTCTGGCTCCTTATTTATGCAAAGCCTCAGGGTCACACAAGATATCCATCAGGCTGGATGCGGCTCCGCGCAGCCTACTTTAGTGCTTGGCAACCCTGCCCAGAAGAGAGGGGCTGAAATTACATGACCTTTAGGGTCCTTTTCATGAGTCTCTTATATGTTGGTGATTGAGTACAGCAGGATGAAAAACAGCATTTCTTTGAGGAAAACATTATCACACAGGGAAATAGAAAAACAAAACCAAACAAATCCCTCCAGAAGTTAAGACAGGCTTTCCATGTCTTTACATAAACTGTAATTCATCTGAAGAAGGAAAGAAGCAGTTCATAGCTGCGGAAAGGCACAATGAGTTTCCTCAGCATATCCTGAAAAACATCCATGACATCACTTTCCTAATGACATTCTTGAGCTCCTGGTTCCTCATGCTGTAGATGAGGGGGTTCATTGCTGGGGGCATCACCGAGTACAGGAAAGCCATCACCAGGTTCAGGGATGGGGAGGAGATGGAAGGGGGCTTCAGATAGGCAAACATGGCAGTGCTGAGAAACAGAAAGACCACAGCCAGGTGAGGGAGGCATGTGGAGAAGAGTTTGTGCCGTCCCTGCTCAGAGGGCATCCTCAGCACAGCCATGAAAATCTGTACATAGGAGAAAAGAATGAAAGCAAAACACCCCCAGAACAGAAAACAACTAACTGTGAGAAGCCCAATTTCCCTGAGGTAGGAGTGTGAGCAGGAGAGCTTGAGGATCTGGGGGATTTCACAGAAGAATTGGTCCAGAGCATTACCTTGGCAGAGGGGCAGGGAAAATGCATTGGCAGTGTGCATAACAGCATTGAGAACCCCACTACCCCAGGCAGCTGCTGCCATCTGGACACAAGACCTGCTGCACAGGAGGGTCCCATAGTGCAGGGGCTTGCAGATGGCAACGTAGCGGTCATAGGCCATGATGGTGAGAAGGAAATACTCTGCTCCAATCAAGAAAACAAAAAAGAAGACCTGAGTAGCACACCCTGCATAGGAAATGGCCCTGGTATCCCAGAGGGAATTGGCCATGGCTTTGGGGACAGTGGTGGAGATGCAGCCCAGGTCAATCACGGAGAGGTTGAGGAGGAAGAAGTACATGGGGGCGTGGAGGCGGTGGTCGCAGGCTACGGCGGTGAGGATGAGGCCGTTGCCCAGGAGGGCAGCCAGGTAGATGCCCAGGAAGAGCGCGAAGTGCAGGAGCTGCAGCTCCCGTGTGTCTGCAAATGGCAGGAGGAGGAACTCGGTGATGGAGCTGCTGTTGGACATCTGATCTTCCTGGACCAGGGGGACTACCCAAGGAAGAAAAGACAGTGATTATTAAGAGATAAAACCTAATGCTGTTCCCGTCCAAACACCCCTACAGTGACTTTCCCCTTTCTGAGGCGTTTCTTTTGCTCCCTTGCCTGAGGTCTGGTTGGTGCTGGAGGAATGTGGCCCTGGGAGCAGCGGTCTCTGCTGTGTGTGCTGGAGGATTCAGACCTGTCCTACAGCTCTACATGAAAAGAAACCAGGAGTGATCGCTGATTAAATCTACCTCTGTATTGGACTTCACAGCATTACCACTCTCAACACTCTTTACTGATGTACTTGTAATTTACTTTGTTCTATCTGCATCACACTCAGGAGCATTTTTAGAGGGTAGAAAACCCTCTAAAAAAAAAAAAGCTGTAAGGTATACCAGATGAGCTTTTGTGAGTCCCGGAAGGCAAAGTGACTGTCCTTAGTGCAGTGAGGATAGCCTGTCTGTCCATCGACCCTGGTCTCTAGGGCTCAGTCGAGTTACCCACATTGAGCTACTCAATGATTGTGGCCTCAGAAAAGTCCCTAGAAGGAGATACAGCTTTGTCCCTGCCCCACAGACTGCAATGCCGAGAGCCTCACAGGTTAGAAGGGGAACTCTGGGCACCTTCCTCCTATGGACACATCTGCGTCGTGGGACCCAGAGGGTAAGTTCATGAGCTGCAGCTGAAAGCCCCATCTCCAAATCTGCAGGGAGCCATAAAGCAAGAACAGCAGCTGCAGCTCCAAGAAGAGAGAGGAATGGCACAGGGCTCCTGCCAGGGGAGGCAAGGTGAGGGACCAACAGGAACTCAGAAGGGCCTGCTGTGAGTGAGGTCCTGGTACTGAGGTTATGAGTCACGTCCTGAATCCTGTGGCCTAGAGGGCAGAGAGGTGCCAGACTAGTCTGTTCGCACTGTCCTGCCAATCCCTTGCCATGGCTCTGCTGCCTGCAGCTGTCCCTGCCTGCAGCTGGGGCTCTGTCCCCACGCCTCCTGCCTGCAGCTCACAGCCCCCACCCCATCAGAGCTGGGTGCTCAGCTCTGCCCTGCAGACACCTCCTGGCAGCAGGGCTCTGCCCAGGGGCAGCTCACTGGGGGCACGTCCTAGAGCCCAGGGCACACAGACCCTGCTGACACTGTGCAAGGGGTGGTGGAGCTTTCTAGGGGCTGAGGGGCAGGAAAGGGACTGAATGGGTGTCCTTGTAAACTTCCTTCTTATGACATATAAGCCTCGGTCTCTTCTTGGAAATAACAGCTTCTATTTCTATTCCCAGTGAGCTAAAAGAAGAGAAAACTGAAAGCAGAGGCTAAGGAAAGATGAGAGTGAAGTTCCCTTTGAAATTGCCTTGGTGTGCTGTGGAGCCGTGAGCAGGCTGCCCCAGGCAGCAGCCTCCCACCAGCAGCAGGACCCTGCCCTGCTGGGGGGGCTCCTTCCACCCGCAGCTTCTCCCTGCAGCGCCCTGGGCAGCTCCCCGGGCAGGCTGAGTGCTGAGCCTGGCAGGCGGCAGAGGCCCTGCCCCGGCACACAGCCCCTGGGCCACAGCAGGGACCCTGCTCTGCACCACAGCCCTGGACACCCCTGCCTGCACCCCCGGCTTCACAACCTGCAGCTGGCCTGTGACAAGGGAGCCCTCGGGGCCTGGACAATGACCGTATGTCAGGGAACCCCTGTGCTGGAGCA